AAAAAAAAAAAAAAAAAAAAAAAAAAAAAAAAAAAAAAAAAAAAAAAAAAAAAAAAAAAAAAAAAAAAAAAAAGTGACATATTTGGCATCCCAATGAATTGACATTTGATAGTGTCTTTCACAGCAAGGTAGGCATAATACATGATAATTGACTCACCAAATGTGATCAGAAATTGGTTGGAATCAAGAGTGAAACCCATTAATTCCAATAATTGACCATTTTGAGAAAAACTCTTAGACAAAATTCCTCTAGACGGAAAGACTCTAAAAACTCATCCTCTCTTGTGAATGGTAGATAGATATTCGTCTATCAATGAATACAGATCAAGGGTGCCCCACAAGTTTCCTGCAGAAACTTTCAAGTGATATAAGGCAGCAAGGACCAGGGAGTATAATAAAGACGAGAGTCATACTGCAATGATCTTGGCAAAATTCCTCAATGGAGTCCAACTAAAACATGAGCATGTGACCATACAGGACAAAAGACCAATACGCGTATAAAGTAAAAGGAACCTGCGGAGTTCTATTATTAAGATATCTTCAATAATATGTCCTTGGGAAAGAGAGTGAGTGAGGATGGTTTTCTTCATTTGTTTTAGAAGCATGTCTAAGCATTTCATCAATCATGAAACGACAGCATACTTTGGCTAACTAGTTTAATACTCTCTCTAATTTAAGCTAAACTCACAAATTGGAATTTAGCTACGACAAAGAACCTGAAGGATGGGAAATTGTAAACATGTCGTGGCATGAATTTACAAAATATATACCCATATATGTATCTTAATATCATCTTGTAAGAAATCATATTGGTAAATCAAATAAATTCAATCTATGGTAACAAAATGCAGAGGCCATCCTTTCAAAAAAGCAAGGGAAATTCTATGGCTATAAATCAAGGATCGTCTGTTGATGAACTTCGGCCAGAAAAGAACTCAAGGACCTTTAATCGCGAAGGTGAGGCTTTGGACAGTGAATCAGTTTCAGAAACTGATTACATTATCTTGACGTAAAAATTGCTATTTTTTTAACAATTATGGTTTAAGTCGTATTTCGACCTCCTGGATGAACTTTCTGTAATCTCCATCGACTCGGGCTGGCTTTCCTCCCTATATTCGTAATTCTCATTCTTTCATTGAAAATATGTTTCCTACCAAAATATACATATAAATTCAACCTAAGGTCGCAAGCGATGAAATTCAACGCAGGGATAAACTTACAGAACACACACAAATTTAAAAAAAAAAAAAAAAAAAAAAAAA